GTTTGTGCTTATGGGCCAAATATCAGTTCAGAGTACCCACCCTTTTTGGAGTCCCTGGGACGAGTGCTAGATAGTGCTCCATCAGGGGACTCCATTGTCCTGCTGGGGGACTTCAATGCTCACGTGGGCAATGACAGCTTGACCTGGAGGGGTGTGATTGGGAGGAACGGCCCACCTAATCTGAACTCGAGCGGTGTTTTGTTATTGGACTTCTGTGCAAGCCGCAGTTTGGCCATAACGAACACCATGTTCGAACATAAGGATGCCCAACGGTACACTTGGTACCAGGGCAGCCTAGGTCACAGGTCGATGATAGATTTTGTAGTCGTATCATCTGACCTGCGGCCGTATGTTTTGGACACCCGAGTGAAGAGAGGGGCGGAGCTGTCAACTGATCACCACCTGGTGGTGAGTTGGATCAGATGGCAAGGGAACATGCCGCGTAGACCTGGCAGACCCAAACGCATAGTGAGGGTCTGCTGGGAACGCCTGGCAGAAGAACCTGTCAAGACGGTCTTCAACTCCCACCTCCGGCAGAGCTTTGAGCACGTCCCGAGAGCAGTGGGGGACATTGAGTCCGAGTGGGCCTTGTTCCACTCTGCGATTGTCGAGGCTGCTGTTGCTAGCTGTGGTCGTAAGGTGGCCGGTGCCAGTCGTGGTGGCAACCCCCGTACCCGCTGGTGGACACCAGAGGTTCGGGGAGCCGTCAGGCTGAAGAAGGAGGCCTACAGGGCGTGGCTGGTCTGTGGGTCTCCGGAGGCAGCAGACAGGTACCGGATAGCCAAGCGGGGTGCAGCAGTGGCAGTTGCCGAGGCAAAATCTCGGGCGTGGGAGGAGTTTGGTGAGGCCATGGAGAAAGACTATCGATCGGCTCCAAAGAGGTTCTGGCAAACTGTCCGGCGCCTCAGGAGAGGAAGGCAGCAACTCGCTCACACTGTTTACAGTGGGGATGGGGAGCTGCTGACGTCAACTGAGGCTATAGTCGGACGGTGGAAGGAATACTTTGAGGAGCTCCTCAATCCCACCAATGCGCATTCCGAGGAGGAACCAGAGCTGGGAGGCCTGGGGATGGACTGTCCGATCTCGGGGGCAGAAGTTGCTGAGGTAGTCAAACAACTACACAGCGGCGGAGCCCCGGGGGCGGATGAGGTTCGTCCTGGGTATCTCAAGGCTATGGATGTTGTAGGGCTGTCATGGTTGACACGTCTCTACAACATTGCGTGGTCATCGGGGGCAGTTCCTAGGGGGGGACAGTTCCTAGGGAGTTGCAGACCGGGGTGGTGGTCCCCATCTTTAAGAAGGGTGACCTGAGGGTGTGTTCCAACTATAGGGGGATCACACTCCTCAGCCTCCCTGGAAAGGTCTACGCCAAGGTACTGGAGAGGAGGGTCCGATCGAGAGTTGAATCTCAGATAGAGGAGGAGCAATGTGGTTTTCGTCCTGGCCGTGGAACTGTGGACCAGCTCTATACCCTTGCAAGGGTGATGGAGGGGGCATGGGAGTTTGCCCAACCAATCCACATGTGCTTTGTGGATTTGGAGAAGGCTTATGACCGTGTCCCCAGGGGCACCCTGTGGGGGACGCTCCAGGAGTATGGGGTGGGTGGCTTTCTGTTAAGGGCCATTCAGTCCCTTTACCAGAGGAGCGTGAGTTTGGTCCGCATAGCCGGTAGTAAGTCGGACCTGTTCCCAGTGGGGGTTGGACTCCGCCAGGGCTGCCCTTTGTCACCGGTTCTGTTCATCACTTTTATGGACAGAATTTCTAGACGCAGCCGTGGTGTGGAGTGTGTCGAGTTTGGTGGCAGGAGAATCTCGTCTCTGTTTTTTGCGGATGATGTGGTCCTCCTAGCTTCATCCAGCTCTGACCTTCAGCTCTTGCTGGGTAGGTTCGCGGCCGAATGTGAAGCGGCTGGGATGAGGATCAGCACCTCCAAATCTGAGACCATGGTTCTCGACCGGAAAAGGGTGGCTTGCCACCTCCGGGTCGGGGGAGAGGTCCTACCTCAAGTGGAGGAGTTTAAGTATCTCGGGGTCTTGTTCAAGAGTGAGGGTAGGAGGGATCGGGAGATCGACAGGCGGAATGGTTCGGCGTCTGCAGTGATGCGGACGCTGAGCCGATCTGTCGTGGGGAAGAGGGAGCTGAGCCAGAAAGCCAGGCTCTCGATTTACCGGTCGATCTACGTCCCAATCTTCACCTATGGTCATGAGCTTTGGGTAATGACCGAAAGAACGAGATCGCGGATACAAGCGGCCGAAATGAGTTTCCTCCGTAGGGTGGCCGGGCTCAGCCTTAGAGATAGGGTGAGGAGCTCGGACATTCGGGAGGGACTCGGAGTAGAACCGCTGCTCCTCCGGATCGAAAGGAGCCAGTTGAGGTGGTTTGGGCATCTGGTCAGGATGCCTCCTGGACGCCTCCCCGGGGAGGTGTTTCGGGCATGTCCTGCCAGCAGAAGGCCCCCGGGTCGACCCAGGACACGTTGGAGAGGTTACATCTCCAATCTGGTCCGGGAACGCCTTGGGGTCCTGCCGGAGGAGCTGGTGGACAAGGCCGGGGAGAGGACGGCCTGGAGCTCCTTAATTGGGATGCTGCCCCCGCGACCCGGACCCGGATAAGCGGAGGAAGACGAAGACGAAGACATATGTGTGATCCAGTGGGTAAGGCAAAACGAATTAGCCCCATTGACTTTCATTCATTTTTCGTTCTCCTCTTTCGGGACTCATGAGCCGACTGGAAAGGGAGGCTCCCTATTGAAGATTCTTTTTTAAAAGGCAGAGGGAGCTTCGTGATCTTAAAGGTATCAAAACTGATGAAGTGTTGGTAAAGCTTCTTTGGGATGGGTAAATACCAAGTCATTTACTAAATTTTAGAGAATTCCAATCAACATTTTATTAAAAAAAGAAATAATAGTGTTGTTGTACGCTGCGTTTACCGTCGGCTAGTGTAGTGCTAGCTTGAATTTGAATTAATGTCAGTCTGTAAACTTCAAGCTAACTATGAATGACCTTTTGTATGTTCTTGCTGTGCTTGTCTTCAAATTCCATTTTTGGTTCTTTTTTAAACACATATAAGGTATTTCTTTACCTTGCTGACGGTTTCGTTTGCGGCTGCAAACTTCTTCAGAGCTGACACTGATGGTGGCGTCACTTCCTACTCCGTTTATCCGCGGGCAGCAGAGGACGTTGACTCAACAGTTCCCTTGACGACAGTGTCCTCTGCTGCCCGCAGATAAACGGAGTAGGAAGTGACGCCACCATCAGCGACAGCTCAGATGTTTGCAAACGAAACTGTCAGCAAGGTAAAGAAATACCTTATTTTTGTTTTAAAAATAACCAAAAATAGTAACTGTGGATGAGGTGGGAGGGAAGCCAAATGAGATTTATCTTTTTTGTATTTGAGCTAAGTGATTAGCATAGCATTAAATCTTGCACTACATCAGATCATTTGTTAGCATGTTGTAGCATTAGCAATGATTGTGAGTGCCGTATTGTCAGTTTTTGATGTTTCTCACTTGAACACAGCAGATTTGATTAATGCTGTACTAGGAGATAATTCAGCAGTTAAAATCAGGTGTGTCTGAGCAGGAACATACTAAAAACATGCAGCCCTCTCTGTTAGCACTGCAAAGCTATTTGTGTGCTGTATGAGGCGTGGCTGTCACCTCCTGTCAGAAGGGGAGGAGAATCATTGTGAGCGCTATAGCCATTCAAATTTCTCAATCTCTTCCTCCTCACCTTGATATCATGCTACGGACCACAGCTTTAACCACTAAAAATGCCGGGTCACATGAAAAAAATGTGCTTTGTCCCATGGGTTGGAATGCTAAAAGGTTGTTAAGAAGTAAGCAGATTGTTTAGTTTTTTTTTCTTATTGCTGATTTTAGGCATCTTAATTTGAATTGAATGTATAAACCGAGCCTGTCTCATGTGGCCTTTTCAAGTCCTGCAGATTTTGGCATTTTCACCTGGGAGGATGACTCAACAGTTCCCTTGTTAGAAACCAGCCTAATGTGTCTCAGATGACAGAAAGGTAGAAAAACAACCCACAATTTAGATTATAACTGAGCCAGAAATGGAAAAGGTTACAAAATGCTGCTTTTCTCCTGCTGTGGACATTAAAAAAGCCACTCAGCTGTTAGTGTCTGATACGTTTTCTGAGTAACTCGGCTTTTCTGGCAACTCTTGTGTGTTTTCCTCTTGGCTTTTGTAATCAAAGACTATTTCATCTGCAGCAACAATACCAAAGATAAAGCAAAAAAATAAAAAATAAATGAGACGTTCAACAAGAAAGACTAGAAATAATGAGAAAATTTAGATAAATAAAGTAGATCTAAAAATCTGCATCCAGTTACTTGTTGCTTTTTGGATGCCGTTGCCATGGTAACCTTTTATACATCCGTTTTCTTTGCCTGCGCCCTGTGATCTGTTGTTATTAGCACTTTTTTGAGCCTTCACATCTGTTTGACAGCAGGATTGCAGTGAAATGCATTACACAATGTTTCACAGCGCTACGGAAGTAAGCTATAGGCTGAAAGTGAATATTTCCCAGCTTCAACAGATAACACAAGAATGATGTAATGCAGCCAGAGTTGCTTAATGCTCAAACACAGGCGAAGGCTGCCAAAAGTTCTCTTTTCTGGTTTGGTTCTACTGCGGATTTCACTTTCAAAACAAAAATCTAACAAAAGAAAAGCAACAAAGAAACAAACCCTCTTGATCCTTTACACCTGCTCTGTTTTATGTTTTCACCTGTGTTTCCTCATTTTTCTCCATGCCTTGAAAAGTTACTTGGACACCACAGAAAGATCGTTTAAAAGGCGGTTAGTCTACACCAAAGCTCTGATAAACGAGCTTGTATCTGTGTGTGAAAACCAGATAATTACCCAAGCAGGCCTTCTCAGCCCCTAACTGGCTGTCATACAGCTGGACAGAAAAACACAGAAACGAGGAGGGAAGATTCCAGGGTAAAGTTTGTCCACACATAGGTGCGCGTCTGTCATTTACCTCTCCTCACGGTTCTGGCCAACACACACCCGGCCACCGTGGCGAGGCGCCGGGTTGCTGCAGGAGCGCTGACGCACCTGGAAGCCGATTCCACAGCTGGTGCTGCAGGGGGACCAGGACGTCCATGGAGTCCACGCTCCGTTTCTACAGCGACACAGACAGCAACATCACTGAAAACTGAATACATCTGAGACAAAAAAATAATAAAATCTTCCCAAATGCTTTTATTAAGCACCATACCATCCCTGTTTCCTCACAAGTTGTTTCCAATGTGGATTTTGGATTTTTCTACTTAAATAAAACCCAAATCCGAGAATCAGATCGCACAAGAGAGCCAATGATTACATATTTAATTCAAATGCAGCCCAAAGCGTGACTGAATGTTGCCAATATTTAAACAGAATAAAAGTTTGACATGAAAAATTAAATTTATTCATATTTCTGTGTGTGTATGCTCCCTCTTCTACATCTGCTTTATAAATAATGTACATTATGTACGACAGCAACAAAGATAAGAATAACTTATCTGGCGGAACAGGGGGATTGTGTGAGTCTACGGCCATTTTCATTAAAATAATGAAGATGTTTTCATCTCTAATACTCTAAATGTGTGAGCGCTTCTCCCTACCTACACTGATACATTTCTCATTACTTTATTATTCAGATAAGATGAACAAACCTACTGAAATATCCATTTTTTTAAATGAAACAATGCACGAAGCTGCTTCGTTTAGCAAGCACAAGCCTGAACTCTGAGTGTTAAATCGAGTAATGAGAAAGAACAAAAAAATTAAATCCAACCCCCAATCAACACCTTGTGTGAAACTGCAACACAGAACAATTTGCAGAGTGCTGCTGATCCCTAATGAGGAGGTGTGAGCACGTAGGGAATTAGTCAACCAGTTTTGTGCATCTGTTCCTGTAAGCCTCACAGATCTCACCAGATTTATGGAAACGGATCATAAATTATGTCTTATATACCTGGAGCAGTTAGCGACTTCGACGCTGATCCCGTTGCACGACTGGCCGCCACACTGAGGGGCGGGGTTATCACAGGCTCGTGTCCGACACAGACAGGACCCGGCGCTGCTGCCGTCGTTGTGACTGCAGGCGGACCAGCCGGACCAGGCACCAAAACCGCCGTCCACTGTCACGTTACGGACCTGTTACGGACAAAAAGTGAGAAAGACATCACTGGTCACCGCTGGAATATGCAGCTCAGGGAGATGCATCCCACAGGTGCAAATTGATGGAAACAAGAATCAGTTTTCCTCTAGCTGATGCAACAATAAGTATTATGTCTTTTAAAAATAGAGTAGTTATCAGGGGTGTGTCCAGGGAGTGGCCTGGGGTAGCACACACGCCACCTTTGGGACAGACTGACCACCCTAGGTGCCACCCAGCAGGGTCCCATTTAAACTGTCCCTAGAATAACAATAATAATAATGCATTGAACTTATATAGCGCTTTTCTAGACACCCAAAGACGCTTTCACACACTCTCACACTCACTGCTAGTGCTACTTGTAGCCACAGCCGCCCTGGGGAGGTCTGACAGAGGCGAGGCTGCCATTTGGTGCCGTCGGCCCCTCTGACCACCACTAACACAGGCAAGTTGGGTGAAGTGTCTTGCCCAAGGACACAACAGCAGGATACCCCTGGGGGGAGCTGGAACCCGCTCTACCACCTGAGCTACTGCTGCCCCAAAATGCCCCAGAATGACTGGGGTTAAAACACCTTTAACACTGGTTTCTGGCCCCAGTCCTACAGAATATATCTTTGTAATTTTTTCATATTGACATAAATAGTATTTAGAGTCCTGGGCCCCTATTTATTAACCATACTTACAAACAGATATGTGTGTATTTCGAGCGTTGGAACTATTTTATGCATGTGTGGTATTTTGTTGCTGGGTTCCTCATATAGGAAACTTTTTACTGATTGGCTTAATGAACTGACCTGTATTGGAATGTTTACAATGTGAAGTCTTGAGACGACTCTTGTTGTGATTTGGCGCTATATAAATAAACTGAATTGAATTGAATTATTTACTAATTTGTACTTGTGTGTAGAAATGTTCCTAAATAGAACAGCTCTGACCATCTAGTGGTACAGCAGCGGAACCGCAACACTGAAGATCTCAGTCATCTACACGCAGGGTCCGAATTAAATTTTTTACTCACCGGCCAAGTTGGCCGGTAGATGATGAAAATCTACCGGCCAAGCATATTTTTTACCGGCCAAAATTCTAAATGATTTAGATCTACCTAAAGCATGTAATTCTATATTATGTTGATTCCAAACAGAGTGACAAAATAATTAAAACATCAATTAATAAGGAAAACAACTCTTTTGTCATTTTTACTATTTATTTATTTTTAGAGATGTTTTTATGAACTCTTTCATTGAAATCTAGTCAGACTCCTTGTTTTCTCTGTCCATGAAGTCTGGCCTCCTGCTTCTGACACCGTCTTTGTGCCAAAGCGTTACAGCCTCATTTGGGTCATAGTCCTTGATCTCTGGAGAACGCAGCTGCACCATGAGAATATCTGAAAGTGTGTCAGGGCTAGGGTTGTCACGGTAACCGGTGTAGCAGTAAACCCCGGTAAAAAAGTAGACAATAATAATAACCGTCTTGTTTTTAAAAAAAAAATATCTCGGTGGATTACCGTGGCTGCGGTGTAGGCGCGGTGACCCTTACCAGCCACCGTATCATCTGCTGAAGTAGGCGGCGGCACATGCGCACTTTGTTGTTTACGACCAAAACTTTCTTTAAGCTAAAGCTGAAATAATGGCAGGAGGAGACGGCAGCGCTCGGGAAATTTATTATCCCTCAAAGAAGACAAAGTCGGCAGTATGGGCATTTTTTGGATATTTGAAGAATGCCGAGGGCCAGTTGTCTGTGAAAGGCAGCAACGCTACGTGGCCATCATAATGTAGCCATTGTCTCACGACTCCGCCGTCTCCGGTTCAGTTCAGTTCAGTTCAGTTTTAGTTTATTTGTCATATGCAAGTTAGCACAGGGTCAACATTGCAATGAAACGTGTATGACGAGCAGCGGTCTCTCAGCAACATGATACAGGAGAAAATATAATAAAATATAATAAAAATATAATAAAATAAAGCAAAAAAATATAGTAAGGAGCAAAATATTAGAGAGACATGGTAAAAGGGAAAAGATGACTAAATATATATGAGTCAATAAAGAAAATCCTGAAAAGAAATATGACGGGAGGGCAGATGGGATATTGCACAGGAATGAGCTGCAGAAAATTACAGTATTGCACTTTAGATATAAATTACAGTATTGCAGGATATAAATTATGCAGGATATAGATTACAGTGTTGCACTTTTTGCAGTTCGCCACTTTTCACAAAATCTTCTGGTTGCCACTGGTCCTGGTGGTTTTTCTTCCAGTTCGACGAGTTTTCTTTTGGAAGGCTGGCTGACTCCAGTTAAAAACCGCCACATTTCACAGCTAGTTTTAACACAAAGCTAACTGCTAACTTGATAAACTGATTGAATGGGATAGGTGGAAATGACGTTGGATGCGGCGTTCACGTTTCGCGTACGTTTGTGTACGTTGCATGCAGGCGGGAGGAGTATCAGAAATCCATGGAAGATGACTAATAAACATAACTAATTTGGTGCAAACATTTACTCGCCAGGTGGCAGGTGGAGCTCAAAAATTTACTCGCCAAATGGAGCAATTTGCGAGTGGCGTGGCGAGTGTTAATTTCGGACCCTGTCTACACGTGTTCCTCATCCACAAATGATTTTGACCCAATCAGTAATTTTGTTTGTGGAAAAATCTGCTTGATTACATAACTGTTGTTGACTTGCTAGCAATAAAGTTTTTTGTTTTGTTTTTCGGGAGGAACGCAGGGATTTCCCTCATGAGTTGAGGATTTGGCGTGACCAAATATGGTTAATTGAGGGCTTTCTTGTATGTATGTAAGTAAGTAAGTAAGTAAAACTTTATTTATATAGCACTTTTCACAGATAAAATCACAAAGTGCTTCACAACATACATAAAAAGGCAAAACAGGACAGGAGCACAAGGTCAACTTACATAAAAGCTTGTCTAAATAAAAAGTGTCTTCAGCTGCTTTTTAAAAGAATCAACCGAGTCGGCCGCACGAAGAAACAAAGGCAGGGCGTTCCAAAGTCTGGGAGCTACAGCTTGAAAGGACAGGTCCCCTCTAGTTTTAAATCTGGTCTTAGGGACCTTCAGTAGGTTTTGACCCGAGGACCGTAGAGTGCGGCCAGAAGAGTGAGGGATTAAAAGGTCTGATAAATATTGTGGAGCGTGTCCATTAAGAGCTCTAAAAGTCAAAACTAAAATTTTAAAATCAATTCTAAACTTGACCAGTAGCCAATGTAAAGAAGATAAAACTGGTGTTATGTGAGCCCTTCTATTGGTTCCTGTTAAAAGTCTTGCTGCAGCGTTCTGGACCAACTGGAGACGACTGACATCTGATTTGTTAAAACAAGTAAAGATAGAATTACAATAATCTAAACGAGAAGAAATAAAAGCATGGATAATCATCTCCAAGTCCGATTTTGAAGTAAAAGCTCTCAATTTGGAAATGTTTCGCAAATGATAAAAGCAGTTTTTTACTAAATGTTTTGAGTGGCAGCTCAAAGACATGGATTGGTCAAAAAGAACACCAAGGTTTCTGAGACTGATCTGGACTGAGGAGCTCAGGGAACCGAGGTGTTGTTTGATTAAAAGCACTTTCTGTTCAGGAGCAATGATCAGTGTTTCGGTCTTGCTTGAGTTCAACTGAAGACAGTTACTGGCTAGCCAGTCCTTAATACGCTCAATGCAATCAAGTAGATCAGCTAGCTTGTTAAACTCTGTGTCCTTGAAAGAGCAGTACAGTTGAATGTCATCTGCATATAAATGGTAGGACACATTAGTAAAGCTTTTGATAATCTCCCCAAGAGGGCAAATATATAAACGAAACAAAATAGGGCCTATAGGGCACACAGATGTTTTCCCATAATGTTTTCTTCGCCTGGACTGGATTCCAGCTCTAGATCCACGCTTCCTTCTCCGTCCACGGCGGCTTGAGGGCCGCAAGCAATCCAGTTCTGACGTGGCACAAACAAAAGTTGGTGAAAAAAATTCGGCGTACCTGTCCCAGGTAACACAAGCAATCTGCATATGCTCCTTAATGCGGAAAAGCGTGTGCCGATCATAATGGGATTGACTGACAGCTGAGACACAGTTTGTTGACAAACTTGATAAGGCAAAAAATATAATCAAACAGATCACCAACATGCGAGAGAGTGGTGACGAAGCACACAGAGCAGAGACCGAGCCTAACACAGGCACCATCATGCTATCTCTTTTACCGTATGTAAATGACTGTGAATGGACGCAAGCACCAGGCTACGCACAGGTGGGATTTATCAACAGTCGATTGCAGAGGAACATGCGTACGAGTGGCCACCGCATGTTTCATTAATAAGGCTTTTTGCTGGTCATATGAACCTGATATGAACATACTAAATTTCATTCGTATGATGGAATATAGGACACTTTCTAGAACGTTTGGTAAATGATGGGCCTAGTACTCTACTCCAGTTAGAAGAAGAAGAAGAAGAAGAAGAAGAAAAAGAAGAAGAAGAAGGAGAAGGAGAAGAAGAAGAAGAAGAAGAAGAAGAAGAAGAAGAAGAAGAAGAAGAAGAAGAAGGAGAAGAAGGAGAAGGAGAAGAAGAAGGAGAAGAAGGAGGAGGAGAAGAAGAAGAAGAAGAAGAAGAAGAAGGAGAGGAAGAAGAAGAAGGAGAAGAAGAAGGAGATGAAGGAGAAGAAGAAGGAGAAGAAGAAGGAGAAGAAGAAGGAGAAGAAGGAGAAGAAGAAGAAGAAGAAGAAGAAGGAGAAGAAGAAGAAGAAGAAGAAGAAGGAGAAGAAGAAGAAGGAGAAGAAGGAGAAGAAGGAGAAGAAGAAGGAGAAGAAGAAGAAGAAGAAGAAGAAGAAGAAGGAGAAGAAGGAGAAGAAGGAGAAGAAGAAGAAGAAGGAGAAGAAGAAGAAGAAGAAGGAGAAGAAGAAGGAGATGAAGGAGAGGAAGAAGAAGAAGGAGAAGAAGAAGGAGATGAAGGAGAAGAAGAAGGAGAAGAAGAAGGAGAAGAAGAAGGAGAAGAAGGAGAAGAAGAA